GTATAGGGACATTTACTTTGGGCATCATTATCTGGGGATTTTTGTGCTTTCCTTCCTCTTCTCCCTTATCTCTTTCCCCTTTTCACAGTTCACACGTACACAAACTGTGTCATTCATTGTAGTGATAAAGTGAGTACTGAGTAGTTTAGCTTTCATTCTTGTCCTTGGATGTTAAAACTGACAGCTTAGCACCTCTATTACTTTTTATCTGTGAGTCATTGGCCTTGCCAGCCAGCACTCAAGATAAGAAAGTCTCACACTTGCCAGGGGCAGGGAAAAAAAAAAAAAAAAAAAAAAAAACCAGGAAAACTGAAAAGAGCACTGGAGCTGTGCTATACTAACCACAAAATGGAGCGCAAGATGCTATGTTAAAAATGGATGAGGCTTGCCCTTTACTGGGACAAAACTATAAATGAGATTCTATGGTATGATTTAGGCGATTTCCAATGGAAAGTCAATTTTCACCTTCTAGGTGACCATCTTAAAGAATTACCTCTAAAGGAATGGAATGGAAAAAGTCCAACACTTTATCTCATTTTTAACTGAAATGTTAAATAACATCTAGTCAAAATGAATGTGATTACCTCACACTAAATCCTTATTCATGAGACATTAGTCACAGAAACTGAGACTTAATCACTGTAGTGTGTGTGTGTGTGTGTGTGTGTGTGTGTGTGTGTGTGTACAGGAAAACAGTATGATAAAAGATCAGTGATACACTATGCCTGTTTCCGGGTCACTGTTATTTACTGATAAATTCTGGAAAGTTAAACAGAATTTTGTATCATTTTCTTAGTTCATATTGTACTGCTTGTAACAGACTCCCTGGCACTAAGTAATTTATAAAGAAAAGAGATGTGTTTCTAGCAATTCCAGAAGCTGGGAAGACCAAAGTCAAGGGGTCAATATCTGGTGGGGACATTTTGGGAATTCTGTCCAATAGCAGAAGGCAGAAAAGTGAGAGCAAGTACACTATACAAGAAGAGGAGGAAAAGGGGCCAAACTAGCTATTACAACAACCCACTTGCCAAATAACAACCTCACTCCATTGCTAATGGTTCTCTCTGTGTAAGATCAGAGCCTCTATGAATCTCCTGAAGGTCCCATGTCTCAACACTGTTGCAATGGGTACAAAGTTTCCAACACATGAAATTTGGGGAACATGTTTTAAAACCACACCACTTTTCTATCTCTGCTACAGATTATCTTTCCTGGCATTCTGCTTTCATTTTTATTTCCTTCACACTACAAAGAAATCACCACAAGGCTGAGAGACACCTCAGAAAATATTCAGTCCTGCCGGGCACCTGTGACTCACCTTTGTAATCCTAGCTACTCAAGCAGCAGAGATCAGAAGGATCATAGTACAAAGCCAACCCAGGGAAATAGTTCAAGAGACCCTATCTTGAAAATATCCAACACAAAACAGAGCTGGTGGAGTGGCTCAAGTGGCAGAATGCCTGCCTAGCAAGTGGCAAGTGTGAGGCCCTGAGTTCAAACCCCAGTACTACCAAAATTAAAAAAAAAAAAAAAAAAGAAAAAATATTCAGTCCTTCTTTGCCTAGATACATACACAGTGGAACTTCCACCTGTTCTTTGGTTCATGAAGGGATTGGGGAGTCTGTGAAAATATTGCCTTGATTCAAAAGTTCCACATAGAATAGCCTCTCTTTCTGTTGAGGGTATGGTTAAGGACGTAGTGAGATGGTGAATAACTATATTTAATGTTAATGTTCTGTCTTTTCCTTTACTGTCTCAATGGTCACATGAAGTTCTGCGTAAGCATAATCCATGCCCATAAAGTATCCTTCACTGTTTGAGTCTCAGTTTTGATTACTTTAAAGTGGAATGAGATCATACAAATGCTTGCAAAGCAATCTGCCTGCCGAATTCTTCCAGACAATTATAATCCTCCCCCCACCCCCGACAATGATTTGAATGGGTCCCTCAAAGTTCTTGTGTTGGGGATTTATCTCCAATGCAATGGTGTTGAGAGGTGGGATCTTTAAGAAGTGATTAGGCCATGAGAGTTCTGCCCTCATAAATGGATGAAAGCCATTGATATAGGAGTGGACTTGTTATTGCAGTGTTGAATTCCTGGTAAAAGGATGAATCCAGTTTCCTCCTCCTCCTCTCCTGCTCCTATGATGTGTTTTACCATAGTGTGATAAAGCAAGAAGACCTTCACCAGGTATGGGCCCTTTGACCTTGGCCTTGCCAGCCTCCAGTACTGTAAGAAATAAGTCTCTGTTTAAGTTACTTAGTCTGAAGTTACTTTGTTGCAGCAGAACAAAATGGACTGAGGACCCCCACATTTACAATTATCTTTTTCTTACGTAATTTGATAGCATTGTTTTAGTGAAATCTTCAAAGCATATTTCCCAAGCTTCAAATTTGTTATCATAGAAATGAAATTTTTCTTGCTATTTATTTGGTTGACACAATATTTATTTTACTTGTGTAATTATAGGCACAAGGCAGTCTGGAACCACTGTGGGCCAGCACCTGATGAATAAGGACACACCTACAAAGGGTGGACCAGGAAGGGCTGGGAGCCTCTAGACTTCAACTAATCACAAGCATCAGTAGTAGGTCTTACAGAGAGAAGAGAAGGTGACAGTGAATCCAGAAAGCTGACAAATGAAAGTTAGGTGAAAGAGTTTAATTGTACTTATCACTTACTGCTTCACGCACTGCATCCAGTAACTACTGGATACACTGAGGGTACATTAGAGGGAAAATTAAGCAGAACTTAGCAAAGTCTTCACCAAAGGAGGGATGTCTATGTAGAAATGCAAATCGACCAGGCAGAAGAGGGACAGAGAGTTATCTGGACAGTGAGGGACCAGCAAGTAAAAGAGGGCAAATAGCACCGCTGGGAAGAGAATTGCAAGTGGTTCCTAGAATAGAAGGAAGGGAGATGATGAAATAGAATGAGTTAAGGAGGTAAGTGGGGACCAAATACACACACACAAAAGCTGCATAGGTCACTCCAACAAATTTGGACTTTACTCCCAGGACAACGGGAACTGACAAAAGGAATTAGGAACAGGCTCAGATTTGAGCTTTAGGGCTATCACTTGACTGCACTGTGGACAAAGACTGGAATGCCAGATAGGAAGGAGGCTGTGTTCGTAACCCAAAGAAGAGCTAATGGCTATCTGAATTTGCATGACTGTGGAGATAGAGGAAAGATACAATTTTATGTTTGTGCATATATATGTGTGTGTTTATATATATATACATATATATATATACACACATATATACATACATATTTATGGCTACCGTTTTCTTTAGGAGAAAGATCTGGACTAGAATTATGAATATTATAAATATCAGCATATAAATGCAAATTTAATTCATGGAGGAAGATGAAATAGCATGAGTGGAGAAGAGGAACAGAAATTGGGCCAAATATCCCTCAAATAGTAACAAATTTCTGTCATGTAATTATTTTTGTCATGTGGGTGATATTTCAGAAATAAGTCACCATACTCATGTTGCCATTCTCATACATAATGATGTGAATACTGGCATCTTTCTTCTTTTTAAAACACTGCAATGCACTAAGCCTGATTCTCCTTAGTGAAATAGACGGGTAATATTGAACCCCTAAATCCCCATCACGACTGTAGTGTGTCATGTCCACTCCCAAGCAGGCAAAAGCGTAATTTAAAACTGAGGAAACATATGTATAAACATTTGTGCATCATCAAAAAAGGTGGTGGGGTCGATGCTAAGGCAGTTGAAAAGAAATGGATGGGATAGCTTATCTAAAACAGGGTGTGTCAACTTCATGGTGAGTTTTTCCCTTTCTGCATGAATGGCGGCACTTAGGTGATTTGCTACAGTGGAAATCAATGGACCTTAGAGCCTGGGTTAAAGTCTCCACTCCGCAATAATGAGCATTCTAAGCAGCCCCAAGGACAGATGTGCAGTAAACAATGTATTGTGGTAGAGGCTTAAAATAAGCTTCCAGGTCCTCTTAGCCAACCCCCCTTCAAGCAAATTAGGTACCCCTACTGGGTCTGTTGCTTAGCAGGAAGGAGGAGGGTTTGCAGATGATCTCAGAGGTCTCCATCAGTTTCAACATCCTGTAGGCCCAATCACCTGCAGGAGTACATCAGGACACACTTCCCTAGGAAGTCCTGTAACCTGAATCCATGCCCACTCCTGATCCCTGCCACTCCTAGACAGGTAAGTGCTTTCATCCTGGTAGCGTTCTCAATTAACATGTGCCATTACTCAAAGACCAGGTAGACTAAGGTGAATATATTGTTTTCCCTCCAAGTTCCTAGTAGGTATTACTGTGACTACTTTTATTATTCCTAGCTATTGTCTGGAATTTTATTAAGTCATTTACCCCCAGTTCTATCCAGAGCACTAAGGTCGACTAATTGTAACTCAATATACCATTTCCAAAAGCATAACTTTTACATGTTACTTTTATTTTGGGTGCTGAAGGGTGGGGACCCTTTGGCATTAAGGTTAAAACAACCGTTTTCATCGAAACCATTGTTTCATCTGCGGATGGTAAGATAATTGATACATTTCTTTAATTTAAAACTAAAAGGTTTCCTGATAATAACTCATTTAACGTTAGTCCCTGAGGTTTCTCTAAATACCTCCAACTCTGAGAACTAGCCTGGTATTTGCACACTTCCTTTTGCCCTTCAACTACATTTGATAGATGGTTCCCAGGACGTAGTGGAGACGGCTGGCTGGAGAGGCTGGAAAATGTAGCTCTGAATTTCCTACAATCTCAGCTCCACTTTCTCCCGTGCGCCAGCCGGGGCTGGAGCCTTGTTATTGTCACGTGGCCGCGGGGTGACTGCGGCCTGGCGGGCCAATGGGCGCGCGCCCGCCATCCCCGCCCCGCCTCGCTGCTGGGCCGCGCGGGGACTTCGCGCACCAAGGCAGGGAGGAGGCGAAAAAGTTGTTTTGCGGGCCAGCTTGCGGGCGCTGCACGGGCTGCCACTCTGCGCAGTTGGCCGTTCTTTTTGCTTGCTCTCCTACTGCTCCGGGGGCATGAAAGGGTTTCGCCGCTGGGAGTAAAAGGAGCTTTCCCCAGGGTGCTCGAGAGAGGAGCACGCGGCCGGGATCGGGGATCGCAGTCCACTCTCTGTTTGAAGTTTGTGCCCAGCCCGAGCGAGCGCCGGTTGCCGAGCGCAGGGCAGAGCGAGAGGCCGCGGGACAGGACGGCGATGCACGCACCGAGGCTCCGTGCGCCGGTGGCGGCGGTGGGGCTGCTGCTGTGCGCGGTCCTGGGGCGCGCCGGCGCGGCCGAGGGCAGTCGGGGCGCCGGCCGCGGACTACTGGGGCAGCCCTCCGGGCTTGCCACGGAGCGCCCCTGCCCTGATTCCTGCCGCTGTCTTGGGGACCTGCTGGACTGCAGTCGCCAGCGATTGGCGCGCCTCCCCGAGCCGCTCCCGGCCTGGGTCGCACGGCTGTAAGTATTCTTCCCGCAGGCAAAGGGGATGGGACCACTCAAGAGTCGAGAGAAAACCCGAGCCAAGCTAAGGCCTGGTGGCTTAGGGCGCGCCGCGCAGCGCCTTCATGGCGGGTCAACTCTTATGGCCCAGGCCATGAGCTACGCTCCGTGGGGGTGGAAAAAGAGCCGGCAGGACCTCAGTTTTCCTTTGCGTGCTGTGCAGGTGGGTGCCTGGCGCACCCCACCTGGCCGCAGATGGACGAAGGGAGTGGGACACTGTCTGCTGCAGTGGGCGGGCTAGTCTACGTGCTCCTATGAGGCCCAGGCGGGAGAGGTGGCAACCAACAACTTCAGTTTCTAAATGATTCAGGCCCTTGTGCTGTTTTACCAACCAGGGATTGCACGCACGACTTTTATTTGGGAAGCCCCCTCCACGAAGTTCGGTCACTACTTAATCTATCTATGGTGGCTATATCTTTGTTCTCCCTCTGTGCTTAATTTCACTTAGCAGACTGTAAATCTGCCTTCTGGGCCACATGGTAACACGTCCTGATGCCGGTGAGAAGTTGGGTGGTAAGACTGATGAGCGGATAAGGAAAGGAAGGAACTAGGTTTTTCTAGAACCCAAGACATGATTTTTGTGACTTGGTTTAGGGGGAGCGCTGAGTGCTGTTATGCAAGTTTTTGGAATTTAGCTGTGAAATTTGAAAACCTGAAATCACTGCCAACTGCGTGGAAGAACAAGGAAGAAAATACAACTTCGTTGGAAATTCTGGTCCTTACCAAATCTTTAGTCTCTCTTAACTAGTTTGTTCAAAATTCTAAGACTGCTGTGGAACATAAACCAAAAAGCAAAAGTTGTAATTTTTTTTTTAAAGTATTGCCCGGTTTAAAAGAAATCAAACAGCACTTCGAGTTGGGCCTAGCAGAATTGCAGTGGAAATTCTTAAATTCTTAAACAATTGTAGTTGACCATCCTAATGTCTTCACAATAATGGTTGAAACTTTTGTCTGGTAGTTTAAGAAGTTGCGCTTCAAATTACTCTCCTAATGTAAATCCTTTTCTTTGTGAATGGTGGAATTGTCAGTCACTGCAACAGCATGTTCTTTGTGTCCATAAACTTCATTCTAATAAAGAAATAGAATAAGAGTATTGGATTGATGTTTAACGGCTGACCGGGGATGTCTTATTTAGTAGCTTTTATTACAAGTGAAGAAGGAGATAAGGGCTTTAACCTAAAGCAGGAAGGCTTTCAATTAGTCGTGGCTAATTCCATTCAATTGCCTCTTCTGGAGGTCATGCTGCTGCATTCATGAAACGTGAATGGCTCTATTGACAACATATGGAACTGAACCTTTGACTGACTGGAGGTGAACACCTATGAATAATAGAGGGATGAGAAAGAAAACTAAGACAGTGCTTCCTGGAGTGTGCTTAGAAATGCTTGGATTATTCTCTAACTTTGTGCAATAGTTTCTCAATGACAAGTGGCCTGTCAGTGTGCAGTATGATTTTGTGAATTTAATGTCTTAAAAAAAAAAAACAACTGTGTTGCCTTTGATTAGAAGTTGACTTGAACCAAAAGGGATTCAATACCTATTTAAACATTGTCTTAAAAGTAGCTGACCTAATTAGGATTTTGTTTTGCAGATAATTTGGTGGCACACTAAAAACAAATTACAGTTTATTTGGTTAGCACAGTCTTTAATTACATTTCCGCCAGCAGTAAATTGTCTCAATACAAGTCCACATTCCTTAAATGTATGTGAAAATAAGTTCCACTTGTATAAATAAGCACTCAGTCTGTTGTCAAAAACCCTGCTGTGATCACTCATTGAATAGCCCTGTCATTCTTGTACTTTTGTGACTTCTAACCATCTCTGTAGGTGTCACCAAACCATGTGGTCTAAATTCTTTATTGTAAATATTTCTTTTGTTTGTGCCTAAAGCTCTAGAGGTCTCTTCTCCACCCTAGAAAGGAGCAAAAAAAAAAAAAAAAAAAAAAAACAAAGGTGTATAAAAGTGTCATTTTATTTAGTATATTGGAATAGGAGGTGTAAGAAGCTGTTAAATTTTACTTAGAGAAGCACCTAAATAGATTGAAATTTTCAGAGTTCAGGAAGTTTCTTAACCTTCTTTAGGTAATTAAAATAGTAAGTTTGTCTTTGGTTTAGTTTATGAAATCATTCAGAAAAAACTACAAAAGTATGATGTCTACTACTTGTTTTATTTCTTACATTTTCAGGTTAAAAAAAAAACTATATGTGTGTGTGTCTGTATTTTTCCCAATTCATTCACTTGTAAGTTATTGCCCTAGAAGCCCCATGTGCGAAAAGTTGAATAGTTTGAGCTATAAAATAATAATTCTTTACTCAATTCTTTCAAAAAGTAACCTCTAATACTTTAATGGAAGTTTACAGTCTTGTTCTAGAGTTTGTGCCTACAGTTCTGATCTCAAAGAGCAGTACTTGTTAGAATATGTTACTCAACCAAAAGAAGGAAAAAGTTGTTCTATTGCCAGTGAGAGCTTCAAGTATTATTACATTCTTGCTGAAATTTCAGAATTATTTATCTTATCACATAGAAGTGTTTGAGTTCTCAACAGGCTTAGTCAAAAGTCTGAAAGGTAGTTTGTGCTGGTGTGACTTTTCTTTAGTGCTGGCCTGTTATAAATCTTCTGGTCTGTACCAGAATTGGGGGTGGGGTGGGTGTAAGACTCCTTATGGTTTTCACAGCTGTTTTTCTATATTTTCCAGACGAAAACTCGAACGTAGCAGGCTGATTTATGAGTCACGTTGGATCAGTGTCTTAAAACAGCTACAGCCTGGCTTTTTGTGTTTTTCAGCTTTCCAGATTTCTGCTGAATTAGCAGCTCTGCAGGCCCCAGTAGGATTGATTAAGGAGTTGTGCTGTATTTGCATTTTAAAATTTGACTTGGAAGTCAGATTTCTAAATGCTAAAAGGAAGAAAATGATAGCTAAAACCAAATGTTGTAAATTATTTTCATGTACATTCATTTGCTTGCTAATAATGCAGGGAGAAAGACTGCTCTCTACCACGCAGAGCAGGAGTTTGCTGTGCAAAGATTTGTCCAGTTGCATTCTATATAAATAGTTAGCGTGTCCCTGCCTCACCACCTTTTTCATTCATTATCCTCACTACAACCAGATTTGTCTTCTTTTAAAAAAGTTTCCTGGGGGAAGATGTTCCCTCATGGAACTCTAAAATCTGAAGAAAATGTCCTCCTTCCTGAATATTTTATGTTCTGGGGTTTAAGAAAACATTGGTATTGTATGTTTGAATCTCTCTTTAATGACCTAGCCATAAAAACAATCTAAGGAAGATTTAGGAAAATGCGACATCCTTTAACTAGAAAGTAATCATTTCTGAAATGTAAACTATATTAAAATTTAAACTTAGGTACATTAAAAGTTTCATGGCTTTAGGTATTTAGCAGTAAAAGTCACCTAAGGGGTGATTTTTTTTTTCTTTTCTCACATATGATGTGGTTTTACTAGTACACAAAACTCAGGGATGGAAGTGTGTTGCAGTAAGTGAAATATTTCAGGTTGCCAGATCTTGCTGCTGGAGGAGACATGAGTGCTCCCCAACTTATTCTCTGGTCTCTCTCTGAAGGCAGTTTCTCATTTTACAGGTCCTTTGTTGGAGGATCTCATCCCATTACTGATGGAAAAAATTTAAGCATTCAATCTCATTTCTCATAGGATTGCTCTTGAAATAATCCTTCCAGTGAAGTAGAGAATGTAATATTCATTATTTTAATTTAAAGGAAAGTCAGCGGAATTAAATGTAAAAGCCAGATTGGTTCCCCTTTGCTTTTAAAGCTGGAAACAATAGGGGAGCAGACTGAGTGTTCTTGAGTTAAGTGGGTCCAAATGAGACCTCTGTGGACTCGGGCGAAACTCCCAGCCGAAGGATTCTTATCCTAGGTTGTTTTTTAAAACATATGTAAGAAGTCTGTGACTGTCTAGGGTGCTAAAGGCACACAGGTTTTGTTTGAATCCTAATGTGAGCTCCTGGACTCACGGTTTCCTTGATGAACTCCAGATGGACTTGAGCCTGACTGTGAGGGAAGGTGTCTGGTTCCAGCCAGCATGGTAAGCATGCACAGCAGTGGTTGTAATTGCAGGATTTTTATAGTTTAAAGACTGTGCCAGCTTTTTTTTTTTTTTTTCATGTTATAACTCTACCAGAACAAATCTACTCATGTCTGTTACTGTCTGGTAGGTCTTTAGGCAAACAGATTTTGAATAAAACCTTTGCAGATTTTTTTTTTTAATAGAGAAATCCAGGTTTACTCTCAAAACAAAAACCCAACACTGAAAGAAATTCTGATTTCTAATTGCTCACTAAGTGAGCTTCTTTGGATGTGATTTCTCTATTTTTCTCTGTTGTTTAAATTTTTGTCCTGGGAACTCATACTTATGCATGTAATCCAGGCTGTTTTTCAGTCACCTTTGTTATTTTTAACTCTTCATTTTAAACATTGAAAGAATTACTTCAGTAAAGATTATTTTACCTCTCTCAGAAGGAGCTTTCGGTTGTAGTGTTCATTAGTCTGGTTTCCAGTAGCTGTTCAGTCATTTCATTTGAAGACACATACAGGGAACATCACCAGATACAGTTGTCACATTTTGTTCCGGATTTTCAGTCTGAGTGCCAAGATAATTTCTTAACCTTGGGTTTTGTGTATGTAGAAGTTCATAGTTGTTTTTAGTAGTATTGATGACCTATGGGAATTGTTACAAAGTTAGACTGAGCCTTTCAGTAAAAAGTGCATTTTTTTAGTGACTAAAATCTGTTCACAGGTGCCTATGTAATCTGTTTACCATTGTTAGGTGGTTGATGTGATCTAAATCATATGTTAAATTGCCAGATATTGAGGAATTTATGAAAACAGAGAGTTTAGGTTGTATACCCTTTTGAGAGTACACACACACACACACACACACACACACACACACACACTACTTAAATAATCTGATACCTTAACCCAGAGAGAGACAAATATGCATGAAAAGCAAATTCTGTTTTCTCTGACTGCAAAGAGGGACATTGGTGCTTAATTTTGTGATATTAAAAATGTTTCTACAGAGACTCATTTCAGCAACCTCCCCAATTAGCCACTTTTCATAGGCCATGATGTCATCCTATCAAGTTGGGAGGGGGAGATGGGAGGGTAAAGCACAACCTAGCAGTTCACAAAAGATCTGTTCACCTTGTGCCAAAAAACATCTCTTAAAATGTTTGTGGGCTTAAAGTATTTGAATCTGCCAGCCTCTTAAACTAATTTTGTCCTCAAAGTTTGTAGTTTTGAGCTTGGAATTTTGGTTGCCATCTAGTTTGTAGACAGAACAGATCAATTATTTCTGTGGCTCTCACTAGTGTTGATAGAGATATTTCATAAGCCCATTCTATCTTGTATTATTAGTGATTTTTTACAAATTACTTAGAATTTTATTTTTGATTTCTTACAGGGACCTAAGTCACAACAGATTATCTTTCATTAAGGCCAGTTCCATGAGCCACCTTCAAAGCCTTCGAGAAGTGTGAGTCCTAGTTATTTTCTGCTTGAGCCTTGTGCAAAATGTATTATTCCTTACACTGTTTCACTGTATGAGTATTTGGATTATAATAAGTTATTTAAAAACTTTTAACTTGGGAGATGTATTTAAATAATTTATAAGGTTTTAATGACTGTGAATTACAGATCACTTAATTAGCCTTTTTTTTTTTTGCCCTTTTTTTTTGACACTTACAGGAAACTGAACAACAATGAATTGGAGACCATTCCAAATCTGGGACCAGTCTCAGCAAATATTATCCTTCTTTCCTTGTAAGTAAATGTTAGCAGAATTTCATATGTGGTAGGTGTTCCATCTGGACTAGCATAAAGGTCTTATCAGCAAAATTTGAATACTTGCTTTGAATTAGTAAACATGTTTTCTAGCTTATACTGTCATTCTTAAATTTCAAATATATATATGTATATATATGCATATACACACACATAATGGCCTTTTTTTTTTTTTTTTTTTACTTGGGGATGGAACCTAGCACTATATACATACTAGGCAAGCGCTCTTCCACTGAGCTATGTTCCCAGCCTTCAAGTATCCTTACAACAACACCCTTTATAATTTGCTGTCATTGCTGAACTTGTCTCCAAGATTCAAAGAAGCCATTTCAGCCTATAGAGACTCGTTATATTATTTACCTCAGCTATTTCTCAATGGTTGGCATGGGATCTGCGGAATGTGAGTTACATAGTTCCTAGTGGGGAATGATCAGACTTACTGTTGGAGGATAAATGGGAATTGATAATCAACCATTGAGGTATCCTCTTTTAAACATGGCGTGCGCCTGCAGTGAAAATCAGGGTTTGGAAATCTCAACTCAAAATATCAACATATGCAGTTAGAATTAAATCCATAATTGAAGTCAGAAATATCCTCTCATGTTATTTTGTAAATATGATTTTTGAAATCATATTAAATGTCTGTATTTTTTAGGGCAGTAACAAATTTGTATTCATTTATTGATAATAGATTTTTGGATAATTTTGACTTTCCAGCATTTAAAGGCAGAATTTAGAATACTACTGGTATAATTTTTCTAAAATTAAGCAGTTTTACCTTCTTGTTCTTAAATAATTAAACAGTATATTTAAGACACGGATGTGAAAAACATGTTTCTCTTTTAAACAATTTAAGAAGAAACCACTGTTTCTTGCTGCTGTTAAAGGTGTTGGAAAGGTTGAAATTATACAGTAAATTTCAGGAAAACTGTTCAATTAATTAAAGTGATCACTACCCAATTGCTTACACCTGGTGATTTTCAGAGGTTTGTTTTTACGAAGGGCCCAGGTCAGCCAGGTCATGGTGCAGCCGCAGTGTCTGCTCTCTCCTGTTTGAATAAGAACTAAGTGACATTTGATACTGATGTGGTTTTTCCAGAGATCAGAAACAGAAAGGAATGAAAGAAAAAGCAGTTGGTATATGACAAATAAACACTGAATTTAAAAAATATTTTACATTAGCAAAAGTACCCATTTTCTTTGTCTTTTACTATTGCCTAAAATACAGTCTTAGTGGAATGGTTTTGGTGTCTTCCAACATCTGTAGCTGTTCTTGTTTGGCTGAGGGAGTCTTTTGAAATCCAACTTTGCCCTTCTGTCCTTGTACCATGTTTTGGCAGATTCTGTTGTGCTCAAGAACCTTGAGTGTCATGGACAAAGTGATGGCTGAGGGGCCTGCAGTGCCATTTTGTAGTCTGGATGAGGTGGGGTAAACAGTCTGTACTTTGGCGTGACACGTGGCATAGAGTCAAGAACATAAGAACCTGTGGGGAAGTTAGGAAATTCCATTGGAAATAAATAACAATGATTTTTATACTGTAAAGCTGTAACTTACAAATAGAAAGTTAGAATGACTAGACACCTTAATGTAAAGACCTTTAAAGTTTGGACTTGGTTTTAGTGAGTGCTGTGTGTCAAGTCAGCTTCAGTAATCTCACTTTCTTTCTCCTTCATCTGTTGCAGTACATCTGACCCTGCTCATCTCATGTAATGATACATCCAATTATTGCCTCAATTACATAGACTCTGTGGAGAGGGATTTGTGTGATGAGCCTGCTCGTGCAGTATGAGGAATGACAAATTGTTTTCATGCCTATGAAAAGTCTTGAAAAATTTACCTGTCTAGTTGTTTGCTTCTACAATCATTTTGTTTGCTCCTGCAGCCTCTTTTGGGTATTGCAATATGCAATCATTGTTTCCAAAGTACTTACAGTTTCTGTGTTGTATGAAATGGAACATTTTCTTTTATATAGAACCATATATAAATAATCAGAGCTAAGTATCAGTGCTTAAATACATTTCTAAAATTTCAAAAGGAGCCTATTAAGCCACATGACATGACTAGAATTAGAAACTTGCTATAGTACTACAATTAAATCTCATATTTTCAGAATAGTTTCCAGGACCCATTTGCTCTCTGTTACCAAGTTTTTTATTTGTTTGTTTGTTTTACAGTTTGTAAAGGTTATTGATACAAGTTGAATAATCTGAAAACTTGCATTAAGGAAAAAGAAAATTAGTTTGAGTCTTTTTGGTGGTACTGGGGTTTGGACTCAGAGCCTTGTGCTTGCTAGTTAGACCCTACAACTTGAGTTGCAGCCGCCAGCCCTTTTTGCTTTAGTTATTTTTCAGATAGGGTCTGGAAAAGACCCTTGCTCAGAGCTAGTCTGATCCTCCTAACCTTGATCCTCCTAACCATGCCTTCCTCGTGACTGGGATTAGAGATGTGAACACCCTGCCATGCCCAACTTACTTATTACATACTTATTTATTACATTTATTACAACCTAGACTAACTTTTTGTCTAGGTTGGCCTCAAACCATGATCTTCCTGATCTATGTCTCCTGAGTAGCTGTGACTACAGATGTGAGGCACCTCTCTTGGCAGTAGTTGGAGTCTTAAGCATAATATTTAATATCTGGGCTTCCTACTGTTATCACTCTATGCCTAGGGGACTCTCCCAGCTGGAGGGGCTGGATGCAAGGAAGACCACACCTGGTAAAATCTTCCCCTTTCAGAGCTATAGGACCCAGGGACTATCTTTGGGTTAAATGGCACCCCATGTCCAGAGATGAATTCATTTAGGGACTGGCTCTGAAGTCTGTGAAAGAAAATGCCAGGGACCTGGGATGCTGTTTACATACTCATTGAATGTCCTTATTAACAAAGCTCATTTCTGACATTTTAAATGATCTTTTAGAATACAAAACACCTGAACAGAAGCTCAGAAGTGATTGGTGTGCTAGGGGCAGGGCCAGGCTTGTGTGTGTGTATGTGTGTGTGTGTGTGTGTGTGTGTGTATCTTTTTCATTTTTCTCTCACAGTTTTGTAGCTGGGGCAGGATGGTATTTTTGGGGAAAAGAAATGGAATATATTTAGGATGAGCATTTCATGTACTAAAGTTCTTGACCTGGCATAAGAGTTGAGTTTTACCAGTGTGCTCATTTTGGCTGTGTGTGATGCAGCCTGGCCTGCCCAAACATTGGGCGCTTTTGAAAGCTGTGAGCCAGGTTAGGGAAGTTTGAGTTCATGACTTATGCAACATTATTATTGAACAAAAGAGGCCTTGTTGATTATTAAATGAAGCTGCTTGGGTCTTATTCTTGATGCTCATGATTTATGCAGTGTTCCCCAACTTCAGATACTTGCCTGGTGTCCTGGGGTTGAAAAGTGTTTTGGTCAGTGGCTGTCAGAGATGCACCTGGAGTTCTTGCTGAAGATGGGGATTCTCTGACCCCATCTCTAGAGATTCTCAGTTAGTGGGTTTGGGTGGAGCCCAGGAGTATCCATTTCAACACATCTACTCTGCAGTTTTGGACCAGCTAATTCATAAACCTTTGAAATTACCGGTAGGGTCAGTACCATAATTAAATAAGTGTTTTCTCCTTATTTCTTTAAGATAGAGCATTTCTCTCAAGTCCATCGTGTTCTTTATAGCTTCTCATTTTTCCACAGACTTTATTGTCATCCTTCCCAGGTTGTAATAAATAATGATTATCATTGGTGTTAGCACTCCAAAATATGTGTTCTACCAGTGGAAGAGAGAACAGAGCGAGATGATCAGATCTGGTAGTTAAAAATGTCACTTTGGCTTTAGTATAGATAATAGCCTGGATATGGCAGGAGGGTGGCTAGAGGAGAGACCCTTTAGAAGTCCAGAAGTGGTGGCAGCTCCATTCTACAGTGCAGTCATCAGCTCTACAGTGATAGAGAACCGTGATTAAAAGCAAAGCTTAAGCCTGAGGATGTAGCTCAGTGGTTGGTGCTTACCTAGCATGCACAAGGCCCTTGGTTTGATTCTCAGCATGGGTGGTAGAAGGGGATGGGAGCAAAGATCAAGTTTAGGTGGCCTTGAGATTAATTACTGGCTCCACCCTCTGTTAAGTTTGTAACCATGAGCCAGTTGCTAGGTTTGGTTTCCATGGGCGAGTTACTGTCTGTATTTCCTCAGTTTTAAAGTGAGAATAACAGTAGTGCCTGTCTCACAGGGTCACTGTGAGGATTTGAAGAGAGAGCATAAGGAAAGCCTTCTGGCACACATAAACCGAGCGCTCAGTGAATGGGAGTGTGATGGTTATGATAATGACGGTGATGATTCATTCAACGAATATTTATTGAATATCTGTTATGTGCCAGGCTCTGTATTAAGTAAAAATCAGTAGTGAAAAAGTAGACAAACTCCCTTGTATTGTGAAACTTCTCTTCTAATGAGAGGAGAGGTAAAAACAGATAAGTGATTCCAGTTTATGATAAAGGCTGTGATTAGAGCACCCTGGCAGTAGTCCTTTAATGGTGGTGGCAAAGGTGAACACGGACTGGATTCCACTATGTACTGACTATAGTTCTAAGATCAGGGAATAGCAGTTGGAGAAATACATGAAAATTCCAGCCCTCTAGAACTGACCTTCCCATTAAAGGAGGAAGACAACAATGAATAAGAGATGTCTTCAGAAGGGAGTGAGGGCTGAAAAGAAGGAAGGAAGGAAGTATGAGGAACGCATGTGGTCAAAGAGGGGGATGCCAGGAGGGGCTCATTGGGAAGGTAGAACTTGAATCATACCTGATGGTGTGTGTCTGGGGTTAGGGGTCATCTCCTGTATGCCTGCCTGGTCCAAGCCCACCTTGCCTTGTATATCCAACTGTTACATTCATGAAATAATCTCGTTTGTGCTTTTCTCCTCTACTATATTTGGGGACTCTGTGGCTAACTCATTTTTCCTCCAGCACTTAATGTAGGTATATAGTGTATAGTTGCTGC